TAGTTCAGTTCTAGTTCAGTTCTAGTTCAGTTCTAGTTCAGTTCTAGTTCAGTTCTAGTTCAGTTCTAGTTAGTTCTAGTTCAGTTCTAGTTCAGTTCTAGTTCAGTTCTAGTTCAGTTCTAGTTCAGTTCTAGTTCAGTTCTAGTTCAGTTCTAGTTCAGTTTCTAGTCAGTTCTAGTTCAGTTCTAGTTCAGTTCTAGTTCAGTTCTAGTTCAGTTTAGTTCAGTTCTAGTTCAGTTTAGTTCAGTTCTAGTTCAGTTCTAGTTCAGTTCTAGTTTAGTTCTAGTTCAGTTCTAGTTCAGTTCTAGTTCAGTTCTAGTTCAGTTCTAGTTCAGTTCTAGTTCAGTTCTAGTTCAGTTCTAGTTCAGTTCTAGTTCAGTTCTAGTTCAGTTCTAGTTCAGTTCTAGTTCAGTTCTAGTTCAGTTCTAGTTCAGTTCTAGTTCAGTTCTAGTTCAGTTCTAGTTCAGTTCTAGTGCAGTTCTAGTTCAGTTCTAGTTCACTTCTACTTCAGTTCAACTTCAGTTCTATTTCAGTTCTACTTCAGTTTTAGTTCAGTTCCACTTCTGTTCTAGTTAGCAACAAGTTTTTAAATAACCCCAAAAAATAATTACCTTTGTAGTATTTGATATTATAGGTCTGATGGTTAGGAGTATCATTTTTCCATTCCTCGAACTCGGGCAGTGAATAGAACGACAATTCTTCATTTTTCTTAGTAGCCTTAACAATGGGTGTAATAAATTCCTCTAGGAAAGGTAAACGCAACAATTCCGGCCAATTGGTGTGTATAAAATTAATGAGTAGACCTTTGATATGAGAACCATCCTGATCCTGATCTGTCATTATCATAACTTTGCCATAACGCAGAGTTTTAATATCATCCATGGTAAGATATTTCTTTTTATACTGAAGTCCAATGATCTTACATAGATTATTGATTTCAGCATTTTCAGCCAATTGCTTAAAGGTGGCTTCACGTACATTTAACAATTTACCACGCAACGGGAAGACACCATAGAAATTACGTCCTATAACACCTAGACCCGAAACAGCTAAAGATTTAGCTGAGTCTCCCTCGGTTAGAATCAAAGTACACATGTAAGAGTTTTTGGTGCCGGCTTCGTTAGCATCTTCCAGTTTGGGTATACCCTTGATTTTGGTAGATTTCTTGCCACCGGTTTTGGCAATATCATTTTCAGCCTTGAATTTGGCCCAGGATAAGACAGATTCAACTATGCCAGATTTGGAGACGGCACCAATGAATTTTTCTGTTATGGCTGCCTTGGAGCCAAAACTTTTCGCCTGTAGAGTCATGTTTTCTTTGGTTTGCGAGTCAAAGGTAGGATTTTCGATTAAACAATTGACAAATACCCACAAATGATTGCGCACCTGGAAAGGTTTAATGCTAATGCCGCCTTTATTTTTCTTCTTTAAAACCTCCAGCAGCTGTTTAATGATGTTATCGACTACATGATCCACATGACGACCGCCCTTGGTGGTGGCTATGGAATTAACAAAGGACACCTGTTGAAAACCCCTATCCGAGGGACAGCAGGCTATTTCCCAACGTTCGCCACACTGTTCATAGACAATCTTAATGGGTTGACCTCCCTCATTCTCATCCTGTTTGATATATAAATCTATATAGTCCTTGAAATTCTTTACGGCCAATTTTTTGCCATTTAAATATACAGCCACGCCCTTGCTGGTGGCGGCCACATCAAATGCACGACGACACATTAAAGCCACTATATCCTCATCCAAGCGATCCATTTTAAATTTAGCCAAATCAGGACTAAAAGTAATTTTAGTATAATCAGTGCCTGCAAACTCTTTAATCTTAGGATCCGTGGTTTTTGTCATGTTAGCAGCCCAGGTTTGTTTGAAATGCTTTTTATACTGCTTAGTGGCCGTTTCAACAGTAAAAGAAGTGGAGAAAATATTACACAATTTGGCACCATAACCATTACGACCACCGGTAACTTTTTTCTCATCATCATTGTAATTGGACGAGGTTAAAAGATGACCAAAAATCATAGTAGGCACATACATCTTCTCCTCTTTGTGCATGGTAACGGGTATACCTTGACCATTATTCCATACCGATATCATATTCTTTTCCGGTTCTATGTCAATTTTAATGGTATTCATACTCTTATCACGCTGTTTGTTATCGGCAGCATTTACCAAGATTTCATCGAAAATCTTATAGAGACCGGGTACAAAAGAGATTTCACGTTGTACCATACGATTACGTTCTTCATTATAGACCCACATTAATTCCTTGGTATGTTCTACAGAACCAATATAGGTATCGGGTCTTAGAAGGATATGTTCTAATTGAGATTTCTTCTGATACATTTGTTCGATGGACATGCCACCGCCACCGGATTTACTGCCATTCTGCATAGAAGCCATTTTTCTTGGAAACTTTTTAGTAAATAATAGGAGTAGATACTCCGGGTTTATTGGTTTTTTACGAAAGATTTCAAACTTGGTTTGAAATTTTTTTTTAAAGAATAAATCAAGCTGTTGTTTGATAAAGAAAAAATATATAAATTTATTAAAACTTTAGCTAAATATGAAAATTTTGAATAAGGAACAAAATGAGATTAACTGAAACACTGCAATAACATTTTACAATTAATAGTATGTAGAATAACAAAATAAAACTAATAATATAGCAACGTTTTTATAAAAGGAACGAAATGAGATTAAGTGAAACACTGCGTAAATGTTCTAAATTTAACAATTTATTTAAATTTTCTCCTATATTCCCAGATTAAACCAATAAAATCTTAAATTTGTCAAAATGTTGAAACAAGGAACAAAATGGGAATAAATGAAACACTGCAAAAATGTCAAAAATATTATAATTTATAACAATATTCTACTATTTTAACAAAAGAAACTAATAAATACTTAAAATCTCATAATATTTGCACATGGAACAAAATGAGATTAAGTGAAACACAGCAAAAATGTTTTAAATTTAACTGTTTATATAAATTTTCTCCCATATTCACAGAAGAATCTAATAAAAAGTAATTTCTTTTTAATTAGGCAAAAGAAACTAAGTGGGAAAAGTGAAACTTAGTAAAAATGTTTAGAATATAACAATTTACAGGAAACTTCTCATATAATAACGGAAGAAACGAATAAAATTTTAAAATTTTAAGGTTTATGCAAAGGGAACGAAATGGAATTTAATGAAACAGTAATGAAATCATCATTCCAATTTAGGCAAATATTAGCCAAAGAAACTTATAAAACTTTTATTAAAAGAAACAAAATGGAATTTTATGAAACAGGAAACATTTTGCTTTTGTCCATTAATTTATAATATAAGAAACAAACTTCAATCCGGATTTTAGTTATACTTCTAGAGAAAATGAATCAAAACGAGCGACCTTCATAACGCAGATATTAACCTTAGTATACTAAAGTCTCCATTTTCCTTAAGAATTGTAATAAAGTAAACAAACAAGGTAATTTTTTAAAAGGTAAACAAACAAACTTCATAATTAACAGACTTTCCCTCATTTTGCCGCAGATGCAGAAAAATATAAACAAAGTAGATAGAAATTTATTTTTATAAGACTCTTGTGCATATTTCATTGAAAATGGCGTAGGGTATTTCAAATTCGTTAACAATGACGCTATATTTTTATCAAACATGTAGAAAAATGCTTGAAAAACCAAAAATAAAAAACAACAAACAAGAACAAAAAATGCCGATTCTCTGAGCGTCAGAGAAAGAGAGCAAAAGATTCCCATACTCATTGAAAGAGCGGGAAAAAAAATGATGCACATTGCAAAAAACAAAAAAAATACACACACATGCCGCATAAATTCATTTTAGAAATAAAAACTTTATTTAAATAAAAACACTACAAAAAAATAACTATTTAAACAATAAAAAATCTATAACACAATGCCACAAACAAGAATAAATAAGAAAGTAGAAAAAAATTAGCATGTAACAGCGCCATTTTTAATTTGCGTTAATGTAAAAAAGCACAAAAAAAAGGAAAACTACAAAAAAAGATGCAAGCGTCCGGTGTACATACAATTTGTATAGACAAATTTTACAAATAAACTATAAACTTTTCACTAGCCAAAAAGCCATTAATTATTATGTTTTAAAATTCTTACTCTAGAAAACTTACTTGTTCTTTAAATTATAAGTTCTGCACAATAATTGCAACTTTATTTGCAAATCTTTTAAGACGTTTTAGTAGACGCGCCGCTTCTCTTTTTTTTCCACAAATTGTCTGTGTAAAAAATGTGTTTTTCACTTTTTTCTAAATTTAACACTTCACTAACGTTTGGTACAAAAGAAAACTTGCAACACCACACATTTATTTGTAACAAATAACTTTTTCCTTTGCTTTTATGATTATTTTCAATATAAAATTGGTCAAAGGAAAAAATAATTATAAAAACTTTTTGCCGCACTCTCGCACTTCGACTGTTGATGGCAGCGTCGTCGTTTAACGTCTAAATTCGTGCAAAATTGTCGTTAAATTTACGAAATGTAAATGAATATCAAGCACAAAGCAAAATGTTGAAGAATGTCAAGCAACGCATTTTTTTGTCAAACACATGCTGTTAGTGTTGTCAAGATTTTGTTGTAGAAAGTTGCTGAAATGTTGTGAAAATCGCTTGAATATAATTGAAAGTCGCTGATAATGTTGTAATAATCTCTAGAATCTTGTCTAGATTTGTAATCTTCGCAAAATTTAAGCGATTTAATGTTAATAGCGCTTAAATTGTAGCACTTTTTGAAAAAATGTAGATAGAAAGAGAATGAAAATAAATTTATGCGGCACAGTGGGGAAATTTAAAAAAAAATAGGAAATTTATGTTGTTATTTTGTTTATGAAATGTCTGAATTTTAACATTTTTAGAAATACCAAAAGTCGGCTATTTAAATGCTGTAAAAAGTCTATAAGCAAGTAATTAACTTTAAAGCTTATCATATTTTCTAATTAAAAAATACATTTCTTCCAAAAATCTGAATATTAATATTTTTATTTGCATATCTGTCAATTTATACTTATTTACAAAACTAAGTTACTTTCTAAATTTCCGCAAAAAAACTACTACCTAAATCACAATCATCATCCTGTTCAGCTTCCGCATTCAATTCCTGCTGAAATTCATTAAAGAATTTACCATTTGTATTTAAATTCCAAGATTCTGTAGTCAGTTCTTGCGAATTATTGCTATGCGTATACGTACAATCAGTATAGTTCAAGGGCTTATTTAGGAATTCTGCTGCAGGTTTAACATTATAGTTGTCATAGAAAAAATCCAAAATTTGTTGTTTCTTCGTAAAGGTATTGAATTCCAAACGTAGTTTTCGTTTTAAATTACAACCCCACATAAAGGTCAAGTGATGATGGAAACATAAGAACTGTAAATTATCTCCTGCCGCGGCCGCTATATTCAACCAATCTTGTATACAATCCAAGGGTGCAGATGTGCTAGCATGTGGATAATTTGGATTAAATAAAGCAGGATTTGCCAGTAAACCGCGGGCCGCCATTATGCCATCTGCTTTGGTTTGTTCATACAATTCGCAGGCTGTTTCCCAGGATTTAACATTACCATTGGCTATGAGGGGTATGCTTAGTGACTGTTTTACTTCACGTATGGCTTCCACATTTAAGGGATCCGAGGTTTTTTGCCACATCGTGCGGCCATGCAGGGAGAGAAACGTTGCACCACACATTTCCAGTTGTCGGGCAAATTCTATAGTTGTTTGGCTGCTTTCATGATTAAGCAGTCTTATTTTCAATGAAACACTAAAATTTTCATTTACTCTTCGTCTTATGGTTTGTATGATGTCCTTCACCAATTCCGGTTGTTTTAATAAACCACAACCGTAACCTTTATTAATTGCCCAGGATTGGGGACAACCACAATTAAGATCTATGCCATCTACATAGGGATATATTAGTTCAGCCGCTTGCGAGAATTCCAGCGAATCTTTGGCAGCAAACTGTGCTATTAAGGGTTTATCTTCCGGTGTGGTCGTGAATTCATTTTGTCTAGCCTTCTCGCTATTATTAAAGGAATCTGCTATAATCATGGGTGTAAAGCATAATTTGACACCGTGTTTCCTTAAAAGACGACGAAACTCCAGTTTACTATAACGTACCATTGGTGCTGATACTGTTAGAAAACCATGCTTTTGCAATTTTTCTTGTCTAAACACTTCTAAAATATTGATTTGTGATCTTTGTTTAGGTATATCCATAGTTATTATACTTTAATTTATGTGAAAATATTAAAATATTAACAAATTGTTGATTTGATAGTGATTTTTTGTTTATTTTGTTTTGATTTGCTGTTTTATCATGCAGTTTTTCATGCACGTGTGCTTGTGTTTTGAAACAGGGCTGTCAAAATAGAGTTGCCGCTATTTGAATTTAGTAATGCCGGACTATTTTTTAAATAAGCGTTTTTCTACAATGGATTTTCAGATAATCGACTTCTTGTAGAAAGAGATTCGAACAAAATCCAAATATTGAAAGAGAAGAATGTAATTGATAGGTTTTGTAAAATGTCTTAACTATCTATAATCTATAGCCTTGGCTATATATACAGTTTTGATTATATGTTATAGTATTCACTAAAGTTTATAGTTTTGGTTATAATCTTGACTATAGTCTATAAATTTGACTATAGACTAATCTTAATTGTAATCTATGGTTCTGACTATAGTCTAGTCTTGACTATAGTCTATAGTATTGACTATAGACTATAAAAAAAATGTAAACAATAGCGGCACTTGTTTATATTCTTTCATACATTTCTAACTTCTCTAAAATACAACTCTATTACTATTACTACTGCCCACACATTCTCTCTCATTCAACTAAACGTAAAAAACATATGGGAGTAAAAGAATAAGATAAAGAAAGAAAATACGCAAAAATCAACAAAAATAGAAAAAATAACTCTTTTTACTTTAATTAATTGCAATAAATTACCAAATACAAATAAAAATAGCAACAATAAACAAGTGGTGACTAATTTAAATATACAAATTGTACACTAAACAATAGAAATGCATAAAATGAGTAATAAATAAATAAATAAATACAAAAAATAAAAAAGTGCAATTGGAAAATTTTAAACCAATAAGAAATTAACAATAATATTATATACATATGTATGTATGTATGTTCATGTAAATCAATTAATTAATTAAAGACAGTATTGTGGTGAAAGAAAATAAATAAGTAAGGATGCATTTTTCGGTGCCACATACTCAAGAGTTGTTCAGTGAAACTACAGGCACCTCCTACACGGGTTACAACATCTACATTAACGGCAGTTACCATGCTTGCTTGCGCTACAAACAACTGCATGCCTTAAATGAACAATTGCGTAGGCATTGTCTGCCTTTGGGTGTAGTGATGCCTGAATTTCCTCCTAAGAAATTTCTACCGCTAACTAACCACCAGTTGGAAAGCAGACGTCAGGCCTTAGAACATTATCTTCAAATGTTGGGTCAGGATATGAGGGTTTCTAAATTGGAGGCGTTTCAGAGATTCTTTTTAAATGCTCAATTGGAAACGGCTTTGGCGGAGGGCGTGTTTGAGGAATATTTTGGTTATGGACCAGAAGATACGAGTGCATCTAATGGCCTAGAGGAATTTATGCGTCCTATACGTTTAGAGGTAATACTACCCAGTGGTTATCAGTTGAAAGTGAACTGCTGTGTTTCGGACAATGCTTCAGCTTTGCTGGAGAAAGCTTTAACTTGTGTACAATTGCCCACTAATATGATGCCCTACTTTTGCCTGTTTCTGGTGCGGAGAGAAACCAAAGATACTTTGGTTTTGCTGCGTAAACTAATGGATTTTGAAACCCCTTTTGTATCACGACTCTACAATCAACCCTGTCAAATACAAATACGTAAAAGCTATTGGAATCCCCAGTATGATTTAGAGTTAATGAAAGATTCCATAGCCTTGAATTTGCTCTACTTACAGACGTTGGCGGAAATAGAGCGTGAATGGATTATAGCGCCCGAAGAGATTTTAAAAAAGTTAAAATCTCTACAAGAATATGGTCTGCACAAGGAGTATGTGGAAGTGGCACGACAATTGCCGCTCTATGGTTGTCTACAGTTTCTCACCTCCACCGTGGACTATCCGGAACCGGAGACAACAGCCCTTATAGCCATAGGTAATAAAGAACTAAGCATGCGCACGGTTAAACAAGACAAAATCTTAGAAACTAAATTTCGGGTAACACGCATGCGTGTTTGGCGAGTTACCGCTCTACACAATTCACTAGAAACAAAAGATAAATCTTCTAACTTGCAATTATCCTTTGAGTATCTTATGTCCAAACAGAATCTAAGATGGATAACCATAAACAGTTCTCAGGCCATGTTAATGTCAGTGTGTCTGCAAGAAATGGTTAATGAACTGCTCAACTACAAAGACAACGAACAATTGTCTAACACAGCAGCAACAAAACCAAACTCCTCTACTACTTTTACACGTTCCACACCCACCTCTTCATCGTCTTCCTCCTCTACACCCACTTCACTGCTATCATCATCATCGTCCTCTTCCTCTACTACAACTACTACTACACACATGCTAGACGAATGCTCTCCCTCTAACGAAGCTCCTGTCAGATTTTTAGCTCAACGCATTTTAAACAAACAAAATCCTAGATTAACCAAAAGTCATTCATACGGTGCGGTATTCTTTCGCAATTCTCTAGCCCAAGATGAAGCGGTGCAAAATGAGGCTTTTGAGGGTATAGGTGATGATGATTTGTAGAATTTATGGTGGTTACCGAACAAAAAGGAATTCTATTAATATAAGAAAACTTCAAGCCAAGAAATAATGGTAGCTACTTTAAGTCACAAAAGGTCTTGAGTAGTTTCCTCATTTTTTTTTCTCACCACTACAATAAGGAATCATTAAGAACAAAGTAATTATTACGAAATTATAAACACACTAATTTTTCTATAGTAAACTAACTTTTTAAAGCAAATATTACATTGGAATAGTTAAACGCTGTAATTAATTAGAAGGAACTCACACTTTACTATTCACACACACACACAATTCAATAGAAAATAGAACAGACTTTCTAAAGAATTATCAAGTAATTTTACGAAATAACAAGACGTGCATGGAAAAATCAGTACATTAGTACTTTTTGATTTCGAAAAATACCTCCGTACCTTCACGACATTTACTTTACTAACTTTTTCTAACTTATAAACATAGTAGTATTCCATAGATCGGTCTGGAGTCTAGATTATAGTATGGTATATATAGTCTTGTCTAGAATATAGTCTATAGCCTAATCTAGTCTATAGTTTAGACTATAGTCTAGTCTTTAGTCTGTAGTCTAGTCTATAGTCTTGTTTATAGTCTATTCTATAGTCTATTGTATAGTCTAGTCAATAGTCTAGTCTATAGTCTAGTCTATAGTCTAGTCTATAGTCTAGTCTATAGTCTAGTCTATAGTCTAGTCTATAGTCTAGTCTATAGTCTAGTCTATAGTCTAGTCTATAGTCTAGTCTATAGTCTAGTCTATAGTCTAGTCTATAGTCTAGTCTATAGTCTAGTCTATAGTCTAGTCTATAGTCTAGTCTATAGTCTAGTCTATAGTCTAGTCTATAGTCTAGTCTATAGTCTAGTCTATAGTCTAGTCTATAGTCTAGTCTATAGTCTAGTCTATAGTCTAGTCTATAGTCTAGTCTATAGTCTAGTCTACAGTCTAGTCTATAGTCTAGTCTATAGTCTAGTCTATAGTCTAGTCTATGCTCTAGTCTATAGTCTAGTCTATAGTCTAGTCTATGCTCTAGTCTATAGTCCAGTCTAGTCTATAGTCCAGCGAAAAAGTACTATTTTTGTTATAAGTTAGTACTATTTCAAAATTTCAATTTTCCATGCCTGTCACAAGATTATTTTTTTAAGATTTGACAGCTAAAGCGAAAGTCAAACAATAAAGCAAATATTTAAGGGAAATATTTAGCAAAAAATTTGTCAAAATAGAAAATATGACGAAATTTTGTTAAAAGAAGAAAATTTAAATAAATTCTGCTAAAAATTATTATTATTCTACAAAATTTTGTTAAAAATAGAAAATTTAAAGAAATTTTCTTAATTTATTAAATATTTGTTTTGACTGACCTTTGACTTAGAACACATTTTGTTTACAATTAACCATAAATATTTTATAATTTAAAGTCTGTTATAGAAAAAATTAAAAACTATTAAAATGTAGAATAAAAATTGATAATTTTACAAAAAGGTGCAGTTAATAATTAATAAAAGTAACACTTTAAACAAACACAGCAATTAATATGTGTATTAATTAACAAATTAAACAATTGTTAAAAAAATATATATCAAACACTTTGGAAAAACTTAAAAGTTTAAGAAATAAAACAAAACACCTAAATACTTTCTATTAATAAAGAAATTATTGTAAAACAAACGATATTTTTTGATAAAATATCATTTTAAAAAATCAACGAATTTGCCATTTTGTTATTTGAAATTTATGTTTTTTATTTCAAAAAAAGCTCAATTTATTGCCAAAATTAAATTATATTTCAAAAATATTAATGTTATGGAATTTATTATATTTATGTAAGATAAAATTAAAACGAAATTGTTATGTTGTTCAAAAAAAATAATGTTTCTTCCAAATACTCTAAATTTAAATATTCATGTCTTAAGATAACGATTTTTTATATATATACATGACTTTTTTATATAAATTATAATGTAATTATTATTATTATTATTATTTCAATATACCTTTTGTAAATGCATTTATTACATTTTATATACATATACATTACACATGCATACATATACATATATTTACCTAAACGAAAAAAAAATTAGTTTAAAATATTTAATATTTACTATTTTTACTACTCTATTAAAAAAAATAATAAATTAATAAAATAAATAACACTTTAAAAAACACACACACACACATACTACATGCAAATGTTGTATATTTTATTATTTAAAGTTAAATAAATTAATAAAAAGAAAAAAATAAAGTAAAATTTTAGAGAAATTCTATAAAAAAATACTTGCGAAATTCTCTTTTGATGCATTTTTTAAAATGTCTATTTTTTGCAACATTTTTCTCAATTTTATATTTTTAATAAAATTCCGTAAAAGTTTATATTTTAAGAATTTTTTCTGTTTTTTAACAAAATTTAATTAAAAATTCAGTTTTTAACAAATTTTGTTAATTTTTATTTTTTTCACAAAATTTTCTATTTTAATAAAATTTTGCTAAATTTCCTATTTTTTTTTTTTTTTAAATTTCGTTAAATTTTCTATTGTAAAATTTTATATTTTTATTAAAATTTCGATCAAGTTGCTATTTTATTTTATTATTTTATTTTTTTGACAAAAATTCGTTAAATTTTCTATTTTTAACAAACTTAAGTTGCTATTTTTAAAAAATTCTGCTCAATTTTCCAAATTCCTTAAATTTTCTATTTGTAACAAAATTTAATTAAAATTTAAATTTTAATTTAAAATTTTTAGCAAAACTTTGTTCAATTTCCTATCTTTAAAAAAATTTCGTTAAATTTTCTATTTTTTTTTTTAACAATATTCAATTAAATCAATCTTCTATTTAAAAAAAAAACTTCATAAAATTTTCTATTTTTAACAAAATTTTGTTACATTTTTATATTTTCAATAAAATTGCGATGCAATTTTTATTTTTTAACAAAATTTTGTTAAATTTTCAGTTTTTAACAAAATGTACATAAATTTTAAATAACATTTTCTTATATTTTCTATTTTAAACAAAGTTTTGCTCAATTATTTTTTAACAAAATTTCCTTAAATCTTATTTTTAACTAAATTTAATAAAAGTTTTAACAAAATTTCATAAAATTGTATATTTTTAACAACATTTTATTAATTTTTTATTTATTTATTTTTTTTTTTTTGACAAAAATTCGTTAAATTTTTAGTTTTTAACAAAATAACAAATTTTCGCTCAATTTCCTATTTTAAAAAGAAATTATAAAAATTTTTATTGTATTCAAAAATTTTCTGTTTTTAATAAAAATTTTTTAAAATTTTATAATTTTACAAAAAATCGTTAAATTTTCTATTTGGAACAAAATTTCGTTCAATTTCCTGTTTTTAATAAAATTTCGTACAATTATTTTATTTTTATTATTTTATTTTCATTAAATTTTCTATTTTTCTACAAAATTTAATTATATCTTTCATTTTTAACAAAATTTCGTTAAAGTTTTCTTTTTCTATCTAAATTTCATAAAATTACCTATTTTTAACAAAATTTTGTAAAAGTTTTTATTTTTAACAAAATTTAGTTAAATGTTTTATTTTTAGCTTTCGTTAAATTTTTAACAAAATTTTTGTTAAATATTTTTATACTTTAGCAAATTTTAAATTTTCTTTTTTCATAAAAAATTCGTCAAATTTCTTACTAAAGCTAAAAAACTTTCGTTAAAGATTCAATTAAAAACAAATTAATTTAAATTTTATTTGCATTACTTTAAATCCTAACGTCTTATACCAAAAAATACAACCCTGTTATTAAAAATTTGTTTATCATTACAACTACCCGCTGCGGTAACGAGTTATTCTTTTTGTTTTCCTTTTGTTATTACAATTCGTTAGCCATATAACTGCGTTGTTTCCATATTAAAGACGATTAAGCCTAGCCGCCGTCTAAGAAATTACTATAAGCGTTTGTCAAAATTTAGGCCATGATATTTCTTTTAAATTTTGACGGTATATGAAGTTATAAGTTATCTAGAGTCAATCGTATCACTCTAAATTGCATATATCACATAAAACAGTTGGTAAATAGAATAACACAGCTAAAAACTTAGCCGGCTTATGGAGGATTTTAAACCGCCGACGAAATTTTTAAGTTCAGCCAGCGCCGTTGTTAAAATTGGTCGGCACAGGTCTCTATTGTCAGCGCAGCAAAGCTATAAACCGATTGAAAGTATAACTTCGTGGAGTTTTTTTTTTCTATAAAAGTAACTTTAAAAATAACTATTTAAAGCTAAAAAATAAATTAAATTACAAATCTATGTTATAAATATATAAATAACTAAAAGTATAACAAATTAACAATAAAATTTTCGCTTTGAAAAATTTTTTTGCTGCCACTTTCTATTTCTGCCTTTTCATAGAGACACACATACACACGCACGTAGTAGTCTCGGAATACGTTTTGCGTATTTTGCTTTTTTTTTGGAATAAAACAGGAAAAAGGCAAGGAAGATAAATAAAACAAAAATAAAGGAAAATACAACACAAGCAGTCAGGCAGCAGCAGATAACGAAAAAGAATTTTGCAATAAACAAAAGAAAAAACCCACAACGTTGCTGAAATCAAAAAAGAAATATTTTTGCATTTTTCCACAAATTAAAATATTAATAAATATAAAACACAACTAAGCAAAAGCTAGAGAAAGGCGGAAATAATTGAAACAAAGATTGCGTGTCTTTAATTCGGATAAAAAACAAATCTATTAACAAATAGTAAGAAAAAACCTAAACAGATAAAAAATGGATCGTGGGTAAGTGTTTTATACTAATTTAAACTAATTTATTTGAATTATTAAAGTTTTAAGTATTGCATTTCACTAAGAAAAATTGTGCCAAGGTCTTGAATATATATATTTTTAAAACATGTAGAAACGAAAAAATTAGGGCCATTTTGGGTGTTTGAGGTGCAGCAATTTATAGGGGTTCATTCGTTTGTGTGTTTAATTTTATAATTAGAGTGCAAGAGAGATATTTCGTTTCTTTTTATATAAATCTTAATAGACCTTGTAATGGTTTTTTGTTTTACTTTATTTTTCTAGACGCATTCTTCTTTATGATATTTCACTTTTTTTGTTTATGTTTTGTAGATATTTACGAAAGAAATGTTGTTTTTTCATTCATTCATTATATGTTTTTTTTTCTTGCTGCAATTGTATTGATTACATGGCAAAAGTAAGAAGAAGAAGAAGCAAAGCAATTGAGTAAACATCATGTTGTTTTCTCCTTTTCCCTCTTTTAATAAACAAAGAACTTTTCTTTGTAATTTGTTGTTAGGTTTGTGTGTGTATGTCAATAATCATCATTCTCATATTTGTATTTGTTTATGCGGGAGTAAAATATTTGATTTGTTTTGATTTTTGTACAGAAAGAGAGAGATCTAAAGATTTTTTACATTTTGCCCTAATTGAGAGCGACTTGTAGAGATAAATCAATTAGTTATTGTTAAAATAGATAATTTTTTATAAATTCAATATTTTGAAACCATATTTTGTGTTAGCTTTTTAAAAAGCTAATTGATAATATATTAAAGTATGTAGTTATACACTAAAGATTAAACATTCTGGGCGCACTACTTTCTTAGTACCTTAATGTTATCTATAAATGGTTTCTGTTTTTAGTTTTGATTTATATTTTTTAGATTTGAATGAGTCAACCTAAATTAAAACATAGCTAGTTTTCTAACAAATTATGCACAAATTGAATTTGTTATTTTCCACTCTTAATACTGCTATCAGAACTTTAACATTTTTATTTTCTTCAGGGATGTCGTTCAATTTTACATTACTAAACTAATTGTAGTTTATTTCTAGTTCCGTTCATGATTAATCCTATTTTAGTTTTAGTTTAGTTCTTCATTAGACCTATTTTAGATCTAGTCCAGTTCTAGTTCAGTTCTAGTTCAGTTCTAGTTCAGTTCTAGTTCAGTTCTAGTTCAGTTCTAGTTCAGTTCTAGTTCAGTTCTAGTTCAGTTCTAGTTCAGTTCTAGTTCAGTTCTAGTTCAGTTCTAGTTCAGTTCTAGTTCAGTTCTAGTTCAGTTCTAGTTCAGTTCTAGTTCAGTTCTAGTTCAGTTCTAGTTCAGTTCTAGTTCAGTTCTAGTTCAGTTCTAGTTCAGTTCTAGTTCAGTTCTAGTTCAGTTCTAGTTCAGTTCTAGTTCAGTTCTAGTTCAGTTCTAGTTCAGTTCTAGTTCAGTTCAGTTCTAGTTCAGTTCTGGTTCAGTTCTAGTTCAGTTCTAGTTCAGTTCAGTTCTAGTTCAGTTCTAGTTCAGTTCTAGTTCAGTTCTAGTTCATTTCTAGTTCAGTTCTAGTTCAGTTCTAGTTCAGTTCTAGTTCAGTTCTAGTTCAGTTCTAGTTCAGTTCTAGTTCAGTTCTAGTTCAGTTCTAGTTCTAGTTCAGTTCTAGTACAGTTCTAGTTCAGTTCTAGTTCAGTTCTAGTTCAGTTCTAGTCTAGTTCAGTTCTAGTTCAGTTCTAGTTCAGTTCTAGTTCAGTTCTAGTTCAGTTCTAGTTCAGTTCTAGTTCAGTTCTAGTTCAGTTCTAGTTCAGTTCTAGTTCAGTTCTAGTTCAGTTCTAGTTCAGTTCTAGTTCAGTTCTAGTTCAGTTCTAGTTCAGTTCTAGTTCAGTTCTAGTTCAGTTCTAGTTCAGTTCTAGTTCAGTTCTAGTTCAGTTCTAGTTCAGTTCTAGTTCTAGTTCAGTTCTAGTTCAGTTCTAGTTCAGTTCTAGTTCAGTTCTAGTTCAGTTCTAGTTCAGTTTTAGTTCAGTTCTAGTTCAGTTCTATTTCAGTTCTAGTTCAGTTCTAGTTCAGTTCTAGTTCAGTTCTAGTTCAGTTCTAGTTCAGTTCTAGTTCAGTTCTAGTTCAGTTCTAGTTCAGTTCTAGTTCAAAAAAAAAAAAAAAAAAAAAAAAGTTCTAGTTCAGTTCTAGTTCAGTTCTAGTTCAGTTCTAGTTCAGTTCTAGTTCAGTTCTAGTTCAGTTCTAGTTCAGTTCTAGTTCAGTTCTAGTTCAGTTCTAGTTCAGTTCTGGTTCAGTTCTGGATCAGTTCTAGTTCAGTTCTAGTTCAGTTCTAGTTCAGTTCAAGTTCAGTTCTAGTTCAGTTCTAGTTCAGTTCTAGTTCAGTTCTAGTTCAGTTCTAGTTCAGTTCTAGTTCAGTTCTAGTTCAGTTCTAGTTCAGTTCTAGTTCAGTTCTAGTTCAGTTCTAGTTCAGTTCTAGTTCAGTTCTAGTTCAGTTCTAGTTCAGTTCTAGTTCAGTTCTAGTTCAGTTCTAGTTCAGTTCTAGTTCAGTTCTAGTTCAGTTCTAGTTCAGTTCTAGTTCAGTTCTAGTTCAGTTCCAGTTCAGTTCTAGTTCTAGTTCAGTTCCAGTTCAGTTCTAGTTCAGTTCTAGTTCAGTTCTAGTTCAGTTCTAGTTCAGTTCTAGTTCAGTTCTAGTTCAGTTCTAGTTCAGTTCTAGTTCAGTTCTAGTTCAGTTCTAGTTCAGTTCTAGTTCAGTTCTAGTTCAGTTCTAGTTCTAGTTCTAGTTCATAGTTTAGTCCTAGTTCAGTTCTAGTTCTAGTTCTAGTTCTCAGTTCAGTTCTAGTTCAGTTCTAGTTCAGTCTAGTTTCAGTTCTAGTTCAGTTCTAGTTCAGTTCTAGTTCAGTTCTAGTTCAGTTCTAGTTCAGTTCTAGTTCAGTTCTAGTTCAGTTCTAGTTCAGTTCTAGTTCAGTTCTAGTTCAGTTCTAGTTCAGTTCTAGTTCAGTTCTAGTTCAGTTCTAGTTCAGTTCTAGTTCAGTTCTAGTTCAGTTCTAGTTCAGTTCTAGTTCAGTTCTAGTTCAGTTCTAGTTCAGTTCTAGTTCAGTTCTAGTTCAGTTCTAGTTCAGTTCTAGTTCAGTTCTAGTTCAGTTCTAGTTCTAGTTCAGTTCAGTTCAGTTCTAGTTCAGTTCTAGTTTAGTTCTAGTTTAATTCTAACTCAGTTCTAGTTCAGTTCTAGTTCCAGTTCGAATTCTGTACTACTTCAGTTCCTTTTCTGTTCTAGGTCTAGTTTTGTTTTAGTTCTATTCTAGTTCTGTTTTAATTATAGATTAGTTATATTTTACAAAATCTTAATAAATTTTTCTTTTTCCAGTTCTGGTCGTTATTCATACAATCGTCGTCAGGGTGGCGGACAAAGTGGCGGCGGTGGCCACAACAATCAACATCATAATAATCATTCGAACTCTTCTCTTTCCTCTTCATCATCTTCTTCACTTTCATCATCGTCTAATAATCATAATAACAATCATTATGATAATCATAATTCCTATTCACATCGTAATGCTGCAACCAATAATAATTCCTCGTCATCAGCATCATCATCATCACATTATTCCAATAATTCACAGCAACAACAACAGCAAAATTCAACTTCATCGCAACAGACATCTGGTGGCGGCGGTGGCGTTGGATCATCGCAATCATCGATGTATATAAATTCAACAACACATATAAGCAATAATACATCAAATCAAATGTCCCGCGAACCGATAACACAACATGATGAACTTATACGCTATATAAGAGAAGCATGGACAAAAGTAAGTAGATATTTTCGGAACGTTTTTGATTATAAGAAAAAAGATTTTATTATTTTTGTTGTTGTTGTTGTTCTTTTAGGTTAGTGAACAAAGTACATCAGTGCTATACAACGAATCTGATAATCAATTAAAAAACTTTAAACCTTTCAATTTGGAAGAGTACTGGGGCCAGCGACTGGTTCAAAATATACATGTCTCTCATGGTCATCAATAAATATAGAGTCAACTCTACAATAAAATCATAATGATTTAAAAAGAAAATAAATATTTTAATAATTAACACAAAATCTATAATTAAAAATCCCCAAACAAACAACAAGAAACAAATTATTTGATTTTGCATACGGCAAAAAGAATTAAAATTAAAAAAAAAAAAAAAACATACTTGACAACAATAATTAACATTATATTAAATATATGACACGATTTTCAAAAACCAACATAAATTAAAAATAAACAAAAAAAGAAAACATTTAAATAAAACTTTAAATTCCGTTTAAAATTAAACAGACATAATTGATATTTATACACTTTGAAATTAAAAATTATTAAAAACAAATAAAGAATTTAATTATATACAGGGTGTTTTGTTTATATAAAGGTTTTTTAAATTACTTATTTGTTTTTTTTTTATAATTTAAGAACATATTCTTTTGGTTTTAAAGAAAATTAAGCATTTTTTTAAATTAAATTTTATAAAGCATTTGAAAATAAATAAAATAACCAAACTGCCATTGAAAATTCTTAAAAATTTTTCATTCGACTATATTCCTTATAACGAACGTAACTAAGCAGCCTGTATATAATTAAACTTCTCAAACCCCTCATCCCCGTTTTAAATAATAAGCAATAGCATCTTAGTATTTAAAAATTAAACCCTTAAAAACACCAATAAACCACATTTTATCAAATAAACTTTAAAAAGAAAATACAAAAAACAGTAAAAACCATAAACTTAAAACATAACTTGACCCTCTTTAACTAAATCCCCCTTTTCTCTCTCCCTATTAATTCTAACCATTCCTTTTTTTTTTTTATTACCAAAAAAGAAATTTTAACCTTTTTTATGTTGTGTTTAAAAAAAATCCATGAATTTTGAAATTTTAATTATTTTTTATTATTCTAAACTTTTGTATTTATTTGAATAAATGTATTTTAGTTAAATACACATAACTTTTGCAAACAAAAAGTTTTAATTAATAAAAACCACAAAAATATATTTTAATTTTTGACTCCCAACTACTAATTGAATTTTTAATTAATGCTCTCCCCCCCTTTAAAGTCAAGTTTTGTCATGAACACACACATTTTCTCTATTATTCTATTTAAATCAACAATTTTAGATGAAAAAAAAAAAAACAATATAAAACCAAAATATAGTGACTATAGATTACTTTTGTCTCAAAAAATATAAGAAAACTAAAACATATTTAAAAACAAAGTAAGGTTTTTCAATAAATATAAGTAAGACGCATCATATTTCAAATACATAATAATAAATTTGTCACGAAACAATTTTCCGTATTGTTTTATTTGATTGAGCCACTGACCCACCCATCGAAAGAGTAATTCATTCTCTTTTGCAAGTTCAGTTAGGGTTTTTATTTCGTTTTTGTTCGGTTCTAGTTTAGAATTAGTTCAGTTCTAGTACAGTTTTAGTTCAGTTCAAGTTCAGCTCCAGTTCGGTTCTAGTGCAGCTTTAGTTCAGTTCTTGTCCTAATTCTGTTCAAGTTTAGTTCAAGTTCAGTTCTAGTTCAGTTCTATTTCTGTTCTAATTTTGTTCTAGATCTGTTCCAGTTTTATTTCTTTCTGTTCTAGTTCTCATTTAGTTCTATTTCCAGTTCAGTTCTAGTTCAGTTGTAGTTCAGTTGTAGTTCTGTTGGTGTTCTGTTCAGGTCTAGTTCAGTTCTAGTTCAGATCTAGTTCTGTTCTAGTTCTGTTCCAGTTCTGTTCTAGTTCTGTTCTAGTTCTTTTCTAGTTCAGTTCCATCTAGTTCTGTTCTAGTTCGGTTCTAGTTCTGTTCTAGTTCTGTACTAGTTCTGTTCAGCTCCAGTTCTAGTTCTGTTCTAGTTCAGTTTTAGTTCAGTTCTAGCTCAGCTCCAGTTCAGTTCTAGTTCAGTTCTAGTTCATTTCTAGTTCAGTTCTAGTTCTGTTCTAATTTTGTTCTAGATCTGTTCTAGTTTCATTTCTTTCTGTTCTAGTTCTCATTTAGTTCTATTTCCAGTTCAGTTCTAGTTCAGTTGTAGTTCTGTTGGTGTTCTGTTCAGGTCTAGTTCAGTTCTAGTTCAGATCTAGTTCTGTTCTAGTTCTGTTCCAGTTCTGTTCTAGTTCTGTTCTAGTTCTGTTCTAGTTCTGTTCTAGTTCTTTTCTAGTTCAGTTCTAGTTCAGTTTTAGTTCAGTTCCATCTAGTTCTGTTCTAGTTCGGTTCTAGTTCTGTTATAGTTCTGTACTAGTTCTGTTCTAGTTCTATTCTAGTTCTGTTCTAGTTCTGTTCTAGTTCTATTCTAGTTCTGTTCTAGTTCAGTTTTAGTTCAGTTCTAGTTCAGTTCTAGTTCAGTTCTAGTTCAGTTCTAGTTCAGTTCTAGTTCAGTTCTAGTTCAGTTCTAGTTCAGTTCTAGTTCAGTTCTAGTTCAGTTCTAGTTCAGTTCCAGTTCATTTCTAGTTCAGTTCTAGTTCAGTTCTAGTTCAGTTTTAGTTCAGTTTTAGTTCAGTTCTAGTTCAGTTTTAGTTCAGTTCTAGTTCAGTTCTAGTTCAGTTCTAGTTCAGTTCTAGTTCAGTTCTAGTTCAGTTCTAGTTCAGTTCTAGTTCAGTTCTAGTTCAGTTCTAGTTCAGTTCTAGTTCAGTTCTAGTTCAGTTCTAGTTCAGTTCTAGTTCAGTTCTAGTTCAGTTCTAGTTCAGTTCTAGTTCAGTTCTAGTTCAGTTCTAGTTCAGTTCAGTTCTAGTTCAGTTCTAGTTCAGTTCTAGTTCAGTTCTAGTTCAGTTCTAGTTCAGTTCTAGTTCAGTTCTAGTTCAGTTCTAGTTCAGTTCTAGTTCAGTTCTACTTTAGTTCTAGTTCAGTTCTAGTTCATTTCTAGTTCAGTTCTTGTTCATTTCTAGTTCAGTTCTAGTTCAGTTCCAGTTCAGTTCTACATTAGTTCTAGTTCAGTTCTACCTTAGTTCTACTTCAGTTCTAGTTCATTTCTAGTTCAATTCAGTTCTAGTTTAGTTCTAGTTCAGCTCTAATTCAATTCTATTTCAGTTCTAGTTCATTTCTAGTTCAGTTTTAGTTCAGTTCTAGTTCAGTTCTAGTTCAGTTCTAGTTCAGTTCTAGTTCAGTTCTAGTTCAGTTCTAGTTCAGTTCTAGTTCAGTTCTAGTTCAGTTCTAGTTCTAGTTCTGTTCTAGTTCAGTTCTAGTTCTGTTCTACTTCTGTACTAGTTCTGTTCCGGTTCTGTTCTAGTTCTATACTAGTTCTGTTCTAGTTCACTTTTAATTCAGTTTTAGTTCAGTTCTAGTTCAGCTCCAGTTCGGTTCTAGTTCATTTCTAGTTCAGTTCTAGTTCAGTTCCAGTTCAGTTATAGTTCAGTTCTAGTTCAGTTCTAGTTCAGTTCAAGTTCAGTTTAAGTTCAGTTCTAGTTCAGTTCTAGTTCAGTTCTAGTTCAGTTCTAGTTCAGTTCTAGTTCAGTTCTAGTTCAGTTCTAGTTCAGTTCTAGTTCAGTTCTAGTTCAGTTCTAGTTCAGTTCTAGTTCAGTTCTAGTTCAGTTCTAGTTCAGTTCTAGTTCAGTTCTAGTTCATTTCTAGTTCAGTTCCAGTTCAGTTCTACTTTAGTTCTAGTTCAGTTCTACTTTAGTTCTAGTTCATTTCTAGTTCATTTCTAGTTCAGTTCTAGTTCAGTTCCAGTTCAGTTCTACTTTAGTTCTAGTTCAGTTCTAGTTCATTTCTAGTTCTGTTCTAGTTCATTTCTAGTTCAGTTCCAGTTCAGTTCTACTTTAGTTCTAGTTCAGTTCTACTTCAGTTCTACTTTAGTTCTAGTTCATTTCTAGTTCAGTTCTAGTTCAGTTCTAGTTCAGTTCTAGTTCAGTTCTAGTTCAGTTCTAGTTCAGTTCTAGTTCAGTTCTAGTTCAGTTCTAGTTCAGTTCCAGTTCAGTTCTAGTTCAGTTTTACTTTAGTTCTAGTTCTTTTCTACTTCAGTTCTACTTTAGTTCTAGTTCATTTCCAGTTCAGTTCTACTTTAGTTCTAGTTCAGTTCTAGTTCATTTCTAGTTCTGTTCTTGTTCATTTCTAGTTCAGTTCCAGTTCAGTTCTACTTTAGTTCTAGTTCAGTTCTACTTCAGTTCTACACTTTAGTTCTACTTCATTTCTAGTTTAGTTCTAGTTCAGTTCTAGTTTAGTTCTAGTTTAGTTCTAGTTCAGCTCTAGTTCAGTTCTAGTAGGAAAATTTTAATGTATGTTCGAATTTATTTGCATTTTTTAAATATTTCCATTATTTTGTTTCATTCCACTTTGTTTTTGTTTATTTACTAATACAACACTGACAATTTGACACTCTCACACCTCTTGCACGTGTGCATATTTACAAAAAAACAGTTTTGTTTATTTTTTCCACAAGAATATAAGAAAAATAATAGTTATTAAAATCGAAAATGGATAAAATAAAATTTAAAAATAATGCCGATGAGTATGAGCCCACAGACTCCGAAGAGGATTATAGTGAAGAAGAAAAAGAATTACTGCAGGAAGTGCGTAAGGGACGAAAAAGAGATGAGAGCAAACAAAAAGAAGTATTAGCTTTTACCGAGTCGGAAGATGAAGGTGAGGAGGACGAGGAAGATGAAGATGCCGAAGCAGAAGCTGAAGATGATGAGGATGACGATGATATGGGTTTGGCTGATAGTGATATCGAAGGAGCCGAAGTAAATGAAGATGATTTGCCGGACACTAAATACTGGGGCAAAAAAACCAGTGCTTACTATAACACAGACTTTGTAGATCAAGATTATAGTTCATACAATGAAAAAGAAGAAGAATTGGCTAAGTTGGAAGAAGAAGAGGCCAAGGCTATACAATTAAGATTGGCCAAACAATTAAAGGAAGAAGATTTTGCTTTGGATTCCGCATTTAGCAAATTAAAGAAAAATAAAAAAGGTTTAGCAGAAGAAGAGGACAAGTCATTAAAGGGCACTTTATTGAAGGCGGATTTCTCGGGTCTCAGCAAAAGAGAACGTTTGGAATTGTTTGAAAAAGATTCACCCGAGTTTGCTGGTTTGGTGGGAGATTTTGAGGGTTATTTGGAGGAAATACAACAGCTGCATGCTCCCGTTTTAAGGCATGTTCATGAACATAATTTAAATATGATACCCGCCTTGCAGTTTGCCCAACACTATCAGAATATAGCTATGACTTACTGTTCCAATTTGGCTTTTTATTTACTGCTTAAGGCCAAAAGATGTTCCATAGAAAATCATCCAATTATACAGAGATTGACTCAGCTAAAGAAGCTGTTAAATCAATTGGATGATAAACACGAAAATATTATTAAACCACAATTGGAAGCTTTACTAGAACGCATACAAGATGGTGATGAATTTGAAATATTAGATTTGAAAAATGTACCACCACCACCCGGCGAAGAGAAGAGTACGAAACGTAGTAAGAAACAAAGACAATTGGGCATATTATCTGCTTATGGTGATGATGAAGGTAATGTAGAAGAAGAAGGTCCAGCTAAAAAGAAAACCAAAATGGAACATGATAACGATTTGGCTACTTTGGCTGAAATGTCTTCAGATGATGGTGAGGACGACGATAACGACAATGAAATGGTTGAAGAAGAAGAGGGAGAGGAGGGAGATGCCGAATCCCGTCGTGGTATTACCTATCAAATTGCCAAGAATAAGGGTCTTATGCCTCATCGCAAGAAGGAACAACGTAATCCTCGTGTTAAACATCGTGGCAAATATCGTAAGGCTTTGATCAGACGCAAGGGTGCGGTACGCACAGTGCGTAAGGAAACTACTAGATATGGTGGTGAAATTTCCGGTATTAAGGCTACTGTTAGTAAGAGTGTTAAGTTTAGAACTTAATTTGGAAAATGTAAATAATTATTGGATTCTTTTTTTTTTTTTTTTGAAAATAAAGTTTATTAGTTAAATAAAGATTAAATAAAATTAAAAATTATTTGAGATTTTAAAGAAAGAAGGGGAGTATATAGAAGAGACTGTAGACTAGTTTATAGACAAGGCTATCGACTGAAATATATAAGGGTCTATAGAGGAGCTAATAGACCAGACTATAGAGGAGTATATAGAAGAGACTATAGACAAGTTCATAGACCAGACCAGAATATAAACTAGTCTATTGAGTAGTTTACAGACTAGTCTAGTTTACAGAGAAGAATATAGACTAGAATATAAACTAGTCTACAGAGATTATAGAATACTTGAACGATTAGACTAGTTTATAGAGATGACTATAGACTAAAAAATAAATGAATCCGTAGAGGAGTCTATAGGCCAAACTATAGAGTAGTTTATAGAAGATACTATTGAGGAGTTTAAAGATTAGACAATAGAATACAAAACTAGTATATGGAGGAGTCTACGGAATAGTCTAGTTTACAAAAAAGACTATGGACTAGAATGGACGAGCCTATAGAGGAATTTACATAGAGAAGACTAAAAATAAAGGAATCTGCAGAGGAGTTTATAGGAGAAACTACATATGAGTTCATAGACTAGACTATATGCCAGTTTTTAGACTAGTTTATAAATGTCCATATCGTTTATAAATTAGTCTATAAGTTTAAAGGCCCGTCTATAGAGGAATAGAGAGACCAGATGTTGAACAACTGCTGCAGTTTTTAAAACTATTTCAAGCTTAAAGCAACAACTTAAACCACTTCATCCTACAACAAAAAACTAAAACAAAATTTCTTGAATTTAATATTTTTTTCTTTGTTTCACCACTTGTTTATTTTTCTCCACTCTTTTAAAGAATATTGTTTTGTTAATATATGTATAAAAAAAGAAACACATTTAAAACGCTTTATAATAGCGTTTCTACGGAAAATTTTTCTCTCATCCCAAAAAGCCAGATGTAGTTGTTTGGTGTAGGTAGTAGAGGCAAACCGCAAAAAAAATATTAAACAAAACTAAACACTAAACTCTTATTTATAAAACGAAAGTCAAAAGTGTTTTGTTTTTTTCTTTTAGACCATGCTGCGGAGCAATTTGTTGATCTTGTCTTCACGGTTACCGAAGTCACCACCATCGACATAGTGGTTAGCCTTCTTGCGCCAGCCACCAGTGGGGGTGTTCAATTTGAAGGGCCACAAGAAGTTGGAAGCATACTTGAAGTTGGGGCCAACGGTGAAGATTTCATGGACCATATCTTCAACGCATTGAATGTTGTATGCCTTGCGCATTTTACGTTCAATCACAAAGTTATCGGTGATGGGGACGCGTTGACGGTTGTGCTTAACGAAACCACGTTTGTAGATCAATTCGCGAACGGATTTCAAGTTGGGATAACCCCAGGTGATGTAGGGTTCAGCAATACGCAACATATTGATGGTGGCCTTGTTCAACTTGATGAAGACACCATTGTTGATTTGACGCAAACGGAACAATTGCAAGACCTTGCGTACCTTGGGGGCAACCTTGTTGATACTAGAAAATAAAACAAATAAACATTAATATTTGTCTAAACACAAACAATCAAAACAAGAGTAACCAAGACAGGAGGAAAAAAGTGCAAAAAAAAAGAAAGGTTATGTTTGTAAACAAAACACCAAACATGATTTAGCACAAGTTTTATCCACTTGGATAAACTCCTTCTAAGCCACTCTTCAATAAACACTTACCCACGAATACGGATAACGAAGGCTAATCTAGATTCACCGGGAACATAGTATTGTCCACGTTGTTTAGCCAAACGACGCAACTTAATTTCGCGTCTCTCAGCCTTGATGTATTCATTTTGGTATTTCTCGGCACGTACCAAATTTTCACGTTTACGTTGGGCAATAACGGCAGTGCGCTTCAATTTTCTTTTGGTTTCTTGAGCACGCTTGCTGATCACCTTCTTGGCGAACTTCAATTTGGATTCGGGCACAACGGGAAGCTTTTTAGCTTCGGTTTTCTTGGCGGCCGTGGCAGGCATCTATTTAAAAAACACATTTTAACTGATTATTAAACAATTCTCGTTAATTTTTTTTCAAAATTTTCACAAAAAACACTGAAAAATTCACTAACCTTTACTTGTCACAGTGCACGTTGAAAGAGAAAAGGAAAAGGCAAAAGGAAGTTAATTTCAATGTTGTCAGCACTGTAAACATGGCGGATTTTTAGTACGAATTTGACAGTTAGGAAGTGTACGGAATGAAAGAATCTTGCGTTTTTAGCTGAAATGGTGGGGGAATTCGATAGAAATATTTAAAAAAAAAAATTAGAAAAAATTACAAATAATGAAATATAAATATAATTAAATTAGTTATTATATTGTATAAATAGATATTAATTATTTACTATCAACAAAAATTTATTAAACATTTTAAATGGAAGTATTTAATAAAAACAAATAATTTAAAAGAAAATATAGAAATATTTTCTCAAAATATATTAAAATTTAGGGTTTTGATACAAAATTTAAAACAAAAATTATTACTTGTTTAATTAAAAATTGATTTATTTAATTTAATATCTTAAAATACAAAAAAACTAACAGATTTTATTTTAAAAAATATTAAAAATTATATTATTTTTTTAATTTTAAAATTAATAATAAAAATTTTAAATAAAAATAAATAATTTAGGAAAATACACAAATATTTTTGAAAAATTTAATTATTTGTCAAAAATTTGAGTTATAAATTATAAAAAATGGAATTTGTGTAAAAAAATATAAATTAAAAATTTGACGTTTTTATATAATCTAAATTTTAGAATTTTTTTAAAAAAGAGTTAAGGTTTTTACATCTTTATTAAATATCTTTAAATATAAATTTCAATATTTATAAATATTGCACTCAGAAATCTATATGAATATATATATTTTTAAAAATAAAAAATATTTAAAAAACCAAAAATTGTGATTTTTTAATTATTAAAAAAAAGTCTGTAAACTTTACTAAATTCTTGAATATTAACTTTTATATACTTGTCGAAAAACTACAAATTCATCTAAAAAATAGTCTATAAAATCGTATATTTAGAATTTGGATTTTTCTATAATTAAAATCTAAATTAAAAAAATTTCAAAATTTAGAGACAAATTTAAAAAGTAAAAAAATTAAGAAATAAAAAGAATATTTCTTTCGTCTAAAAACTCGTCTATAAAATCTCATGTAAAAATTTGTTTAAAAACTAACATAAATTATTAAACACTTCTCTATAAACTCACCTAAAACTAGTCTAAATGCTAAGCCGGTATAAAAACATCTAAAATTTTATAAACTGTTCCAAAAATCTCCTCCAATATCTTGTTTAAAATTCTAAAATTTAGTTATAAATTCGTCTAAAACTACGTCTATAAACTCATCTGAAATCTTGTCTATAAAGTCAGTTATAAAGTGCTGTAAAAACCTATCTATAAACTGGTATAAAGACTCATCATATAAATTCTCGACTACAAACTAATATAAGAACTCGTTTTAAAATTCATAAAAAAATCGCCTCTTCTAAAATATCATCTATATACTCGCCTAAAACAGTCTATAAACTTACCTAAAAACTCATCCATAAACTAGTCGAAAAAATCGTCAAAAAACTCATTTTATAAACTTGTCTAAAAATTCATCAATAAACTAGTCCGAAAACCCGAACTAATGCTTCTAAAAACTATACTAAAAACTGCTCGAAAACTTTTCTATACACTTGTCAAAAAACTCATCTAAAAGCTCATTTACTAACAAGTCTTAAATCTCCTCTATAAACTCGTCTAAAATATAGTCTATAAACTCGTTGAAAACTTATAATATGATCCAAAAACAAGTCTAAAAGCTCAATTACAAATTTGTCTAAAATCTCATCTATAAACTCGTGTAAAACGCTTCTACAAACAACACTTAAAATTTGTCGAAAACTTAATTATATACCTGTCGAAAAACTCTTCTAAAAACCCTTCTAAACATAGTCTAAAAACTCATCCATAAACTAGTGAAAAAACTATACTAAAAACTCGTCGAAAGTTTTTCTATATACTTGTCAAAAAACTCGTCTAAAATATAGTGTATGAACTCGTTGAAAAGTTATCTATAAAATGGTCGAAAATCTCGTCTAAAAATCATTTACAAACTCATCTAAAATCTCTATAAATTCACCTAAAACAGATTTTATCAACTTTTCAATAAACACATTTACAAATTCGTCTAAAATATCATCTATAAACTCGTCTGAAACATAGTCTAAAAACTTATGAATATACTAGTCGAAAAAGTATACTAAAGTCGAAAACGTATCTATAAAATTTATTTTGCAAAAATAATCAATTTTTTCCCAAAAATATTTCTAAATATTTAAAAAACTATAATAATTTAATTAACAGCAATAAAAGTTTCATTAATAAGTTACAATCTGTAATTTCTACAATACATAATATGTATGTATTACATTTTTATTTTTAAAATTACTACAGATATAAAAAAACGCTACAATGTTGATACTTTTAGTACTATAAACGCATAACTGACTATGACATCTGCTAACTAAACACATCAATAACCGGTTGTTGTCTTGGCTATTAGCTGTCAACAAACAACAGCTGATGGTAAAACAAAACAATCTATCCCGCCTTTGTTGTGATTTTAGACATTTTCTTATTAACAATTCTAATTGTGTAAAAATCCTTAGCAATATGTCCTTGGAGTGTCCTAGTAGTCCTGTCTATCACACCAGTGCAGAGCAGAAATTAAAATCCAAAAATGCGGCCAAATTATATCGTTTTGGTACGCCCAAACTAAGGGATCTATTAAGAGAGGTTAGTATTAGAACTTGTTGATTTAGAATTTCATAAAAAAACTAAATTAATTTTTCTTTATACTCTCAAAGAAATGTCGCATACGTGTTAAAGAAGCACGACAAATGGGTTTTTCCCACAATCGTCCCGAGGGAGCAGCAGGGGAACAGGTTTATAATACAATTTCATGATAGTCGCTTGTTATATATTTCTCTGACTCACTTTCAGATTTCCCTTAAAGCTATACTCCGCCAGGAATTGGCCGAATTGGAACATGATATTACTTTGCAAGATGAAATCTTTAATGAACTAGAAGAAGAATTAAATGATTGGTTTGCCGATCAGCTGGAGGAAGAACAAAACTATTTAATAGAAGTGGCCGTATCACAAGATTTAGTTTGTCCCATTTGTCAAATCTCAAATTTGGTTATATTCCAGACCAACGACTCTAGCTACAACTATAGATGCAAATGTAATGCCAAGTAAGTACTGCATAGTTTCTTTTTATAGTCTTAATGTTGAACTGCTTTGTGTCAGTTTTAATTTTCCGGCCAATATGGAGTTGTTGCGTACCAAACTATCACACTGCATTGATGAACACGAACAGAAGTGTTTGACAAAGTTAAATTTCTTTGTTAATCCTCTGACTCAACAATTGGAGGGTATGTGTGATAATTGTGATTATTTTTGTACACTGTAGTTGGAAAAAAGATCAGCAGACTCTGGTAGTCTTTTTTTATATTTTTTATATCTTTTTACATATTTATATTTTCTATCAACATTTGTTTTTTTTTTTCTAAATTTAAGTTTAATTGCTCACCCCTTCAGAGTTTTATTCTAATACTTTTTCGATTTGCAGATTTTGTAATATAACGTTTCAGTTGAATTTGAATTTTTCAATATATTTCGGTGGTTTTTCGCATTAATTGTAAACTGTAAATCAGTCTAGTATTGGAATAATTCAAATATTAAAACTTGAAAATAGTTATTTTGTAATAGGGGTGAGTTTATTTTATTATTTAGCCATTGAAATTTACGAGTGCGACGATCTTTTAAGTTTAATTAAAAAAACATTGTTTTATATACAAAATTATAAGTGTTCTGTACACAATTGTTAAAAATAAAATTAAATAAAAAGAAAAAAAAAAAATATATATCCATATTATTTTATGGGCGTTCCCACGACAAAGGGATCTTCGCTCCGGAAAGACAGGAGTCATACACAGCCAACGATTGTCAACACAAAAACAGCTTTATCAACCGAAAGTTGTAAACAGGAAAGAACTACCGGCCACTGTCTAACTGTTACAACAACAGGTTTTTAGGCAAGACTATATATTTACAGACTAGACTATATAATAGAATATATGCTAGCCTATAGGCTAGAATATAAACCATAGAGAATTACAGACTAGGCTATAGACCAGACTATAGACTAGACTATAGACTAGACTATAGACTAGACTATAGACTAGACTATAGACTAGACTATAGACTAGACTATAGACTAGACTATAGACTAGACTATAGACTAGACTATAGACTAGACTATAGACTAGACTATAGACTAGACTATAGACTAGACTATAGACTAGACTATAGACTAGACTATAGACTAGACTATAGACTAGACTATAGACTAGACTATAGACTAGACTATAGACTAGACTATAGACTAGACTATAGACTAGACTATAGACTAGACTATAGACTAGACTATAGACTAGACTATAGACTAGACTATAGACTAGACTATAGACTAGACTATAGACTAGACTATAGACTAGACTATAAACTAGACTATAGACTAGACTATAGACTAGACTATAGACTAGACCAACGGTTCCCAAATGGGGGTCCGCGGACCCCTAGTGGTCCGTTGTAAAATCCTAGGGGGTCCGCGAAGACGAACGAAAAAAACCATGAATAAACAATATTCTGCTTTTATATGTATGTACAAATATCTCCTATTTTTGTGCAATAATCCCAAATTTCTTGTAGACTTTTTGAATTTTATTTTTTCGGTTGTTTATCAGGTAGAAGCTAGGCCCTACAAATTTATTGTATAACTTTTATAAAGTAAAGTATTGCGTGATTTGTAATTTTTATTTCCTGTATATGTACTGAAATAATGGTTTTTATTTCAGACAAATAATACTCTGCCTTACAATTAAATTAGGGATACTGGTATTCCGGAGTATGAAGTTCAATTCAAAGACAAGCTTATTACAGATTTAAATCAAATTGTAAGCAAAAGTGTTCTCGTTTGAAAGGACTAAAATTATATATTTCCAAAACAGAGGTGACTCTTTATGCATCTCTTTATAAATATTCCAATCCGACGTGATACACAGATTTTAACTTGATTTTGTCGACCAATACATATTATTAAATTAACATCAGAAAATCCATAGCGTTTCGCGTAAATATTTAGCCAAAAACCATGAAGTAAAATAATTCGTTGGTATTTTAAAATTAAAATTTAAGTTCCAAATTCACAGTACTTTAACAAAGAGTTCAAATCATATATTATGCGGATAACGCATTCCGCAACAACATAGAAGAAGTCCAACTTTCTTATATTATTTTCCCGAAAACTTAGCTCACTTACTCAGTTCACCCTTTGCAATCGCAACAAATTTTTGAAACGTGACTCCTTAAGCACATGTGACAATATTTGATAAAGAAACCTTTTCGCTACCTTAAAGAAAAATGAACATGAAAGATCTCACGATCATAAAATTAAACATCATGTTAACATATCAACAAAGAAGTCATTCTATCTTCAAAACATGCAATTGAAAACCTATCTGAAATATGACATGAACTAGGTCAATTTTCGGATGGACAATTATTTAGAACAATAAGATATCAAAATATGTATGGGGGTCCGCGAAATTAAATAAGTTCTTCAAGGGGTCCGCGAAGTAAAAATCGGTGGGAACCGCTGGACTAGACTATAGACTAGACTATAGACTAGACTAGAGACTAGACTAGAGACTAGACTATAGACTAGACTATAGACTAGACTATAGACTAGACTATAGACTAGACTATAGACTAGACTATAGACTAGACTATAGACTAGACTATAGACTAGACTATAGACTAGACTATAGACTAGACTATAGACTAGACTATAGACTAGACTATAGACTAGACTATAGACTAGACTATAGACTAGAATATAAACTAGACTATAAACTAGACTATAGACTAGACTATAGACTAGACTATAGACTAGACTATAGACTAGACTATAGACTAGACTATAGACTAGACTATAGACTAGACTATAGACTAGACTATAGACTAGACTATAGACTAGACTATAGACTAGACTATAGACTAGACTATAGACTAGACTATAGACTAGACTATAAACTAGACTATAGACTAGACTATAGACTAGACTATAGACTAGACTATAGACTAGACTATAGACTAGACTATAGACTAGACTATAGACTAGACTATAGACTAGACTATAGACTAGACTATAGACTAGACTATAGACTAGACTATAGACTAGACTATAGACTAGACTATAGACTAGACTATAGACTAGACTATAGACTAGACTATAGACTAGACTATAGACTAGACTATAGCCTAGTCTATAGACTAGACTATAGACTAGTACTATAGACTAGACTATAGACTAGACTATAGACTAGACTATAGACTAGACTATAGACTAGACTATAGACTAGACTATAGACTAGACTATAGACTAGACTATAGACTAGACTATAGACTAGACTATAGACTAGACTATAGACTAGACTATAGACTAGACTATAGACTAGACTATAGACTAGACTATAGACTAGACTATAGACTAGACTATAGACTAGACTATAGACTAGACTATAGACTAGACTATAGACTAGACTATAGACTAGACTATAGACTAGACTATAGACTATAGACTAGACTATAGACTAGACTATAGACTAGACTATAGACTAGACTATAGACTAGACTATAGACTAGACTATAGACTAGACTATAGACTAGACTATAGACTAGACTATAGACTAGACTATAAACTAGACTATACTATAGACTAGCCTATAGGCTATACTTTAGAATGGTTAAAAGAAATCCATGAACCAGAAAGATTCATTGAAGCTTGAATTTTAAGCTGCAAAGAAGGCAAACAGAGGAGAGTAAAGCTGAAATCGTAGAACTCCGAAGTAAAAGTCTTTATTCAAGAAAACCGAAATAAAAGGATGAAGAAGTTGTCTTTATCAAACTAAAAATACATAATAGTAACTGTATCATTATGTAAAGGACAATTTAGTTAAGGAGTCTCTATTTTTTAATAAATCTATTATATTTGATCTAAAAATTTGCCTATTATTTTATGTAAGATATAGATTTAGGTTTGAATCATTTATGACAAGTTATCCTACATATATGCCAAGCTAAACTTTAAGTTATTTTATTAATTCTTACTTCGATCAAAATACTTCAAATTAATAGTGGAATTAAAATTTCTTTTCAAATACAAATTCTTCTACATACTCTCCCATTAGATTGCCAACAAATCTAACCCATATTGTCATTTGTCAAACTTGTGGTATTTTCCTTAAATATACTCTTCTTGTCTGGTGCAAAGGGAAATATTTAAATATTTAAGATTCTATTCCAAATGTAAGTAAGTAAAATAAAGTTAAAAGCCATTTTGTGGATATTTAGATATTTTGTAAATTGTTAAATCAAATCAAATATTGACGAACATGTAATTCCTGTACAAGGGATTGGAAGTACAGGAAAGGATACAATATTATTGATGTATTTACAAAGTAAATATGTAAACGCATGTACATATGTATGTAGATGTAGGTTTAACAAGTATTTTTGGCTTCAATATTAGTTTAAATTATTTTGGAATGCAGGAATCTTAACAGTGGTGGCGGCAATTAAGTCTCTGATAGTTAGATATCTTAATATAACATAAAAATTTACAATACTTTTAAATAATAACTGACATAATCATTAAAATTAACTTAGACAGTTGTCTATTAACTTTTGTGTTTAACTGTAGTTTATGTTGAAGTATGTAGTAGCTCATTTACTTTTTCAGCAAATGTTTGTACGAATCATATAGTAGTATGGTCAATGAAATGTTTACAATAATGTTAACAATACTAAATAACACACATACAGAAGAACATTTATTCACACATTCACTCAAATATTGGGAATGTAACAACAAACGAACATTGGGTTTGGGAGAAGGGTATTCTAAAAATGTATGTTAATAATTTCAAGACAATAGACTAAACTTTAGACTAGACAAAAGAAAAGCCTATATACTAGAGTTTAGACAAGACTAAAGATAAGACTTGTAGTCTATTAACTAGAATATACTATAGATTAGACTAGACTATAGACCAGGCTATATACTACACTATAGCCTATATACTACACTACAGACTGCGCTACTAGACTATAGACCAGGCTATATACTACACTATAGCCTATATACTACGCTAGAGACTAGTCTATAGGCTACACTATATACTAGTATATAGTCTAGTCTATAATGTTCAGTTCTAGTTCAGTTCAGTTCTAGTTCAGTTCAGTTCTAGTTCAGTTCAGTTCTAGTTCAGTTCTAGTTCTAGTTCAGTTCTAGTTCAGTTCTAGTTCAGTTCTAGTTCAGTTCTAGTTCAGTTCTAGTTCAGTTCTAGTTCAGTTCTAGTTCAGTTCTAGTTCTAGTTCAGTTCTAGTTCAGTTCTAGTTCAGTTCTAGTTCAGTTCTAGTTCAGTTCTAGTTCAGTTAGTTCAGTTCTAGTTCAGTTCTAGTTCAGTTCTAGTTCAGTTCTAGTTCAGTTCTAGTTCAGTTCTAGTTCAGTTCTAGTTCAGTTCTAGTTCAGTTCTAGTTCAGTTCAGTTCTAGTTCAGTTCTAGTTCAGTTCTAGTTCTAGTTCAGTTCTAGTTCAGTTCTAGTTCAGTTATAGTTCAGTTCTAGTTCAGTTCTAGTTCAGTTCTAGTTCAGTTCTAGTTTAGTTCTAGTTTAGTTCCAGTTCAGTTCTAGTTCAGTTCTAGTTCAGTTCTAGTTCAG